AAGTTTTTTTTTTTGTAAGGGCACTTTTGTTAAAAACAGTTTGTGATAATTTTATTTTTTTTTAATTTTGGTGAAATTTTTGCATAACGCATTTTTAAAAATCAATATCTCAATTATTACAGGAAATTTCAGAACGCGGTTTTCAACAATGTTTTCAGCTTACAGAACTCCAGAAATCATACCAGATATATCGTCGATTTTTTTTGTTACAAACGTTACACAGTAAAAAAAACTTGTGTCGTAGATGTTGCTAACTTTTATTTTTACTATATCTCAGTCCCAACAAATAAAGTCAAAAATATACCTAGTACGATTTCTAAAGTTTCGCAAACTGAAAACAGTGGTGAAAACCCCGTTCCAAAATTTCAGTAAATAACTGAAATATTGACTTTTTAAACTACGTGATGCAAAAATTTCAACAAAATTTAAAAAATATATGATAATAAATTGTTACAAAAAACTGCCCTCGCAGTTATGTAGTGAAAGTTGTGGACAAGTTACATTTAAAATTTTATAACAATAAGTGTGTTAATAACTGAGATAGGTATTACAAATATATTGACACCAAAAGAGCCAAACGTAGCGACTCCTCTTAATGATTTTATTTAGTACATTTTTAGAGTACTTTTGGTTGTGTTATCGTACAAAAATTGACCACAATATTCTAGCCACGCTAAAAATATTCAGATCACTGAAACACCAACATATTTTATTATTTTTTGATAATTATAGCTACAAGTAAATTTCCGAATTTATTTAAGACGCAATTTTTCGAGTGTCGTGTGATTTTTAAGTACCTTGAGATGATTTGATATCTTTATATTTGTGTTATCACGTGTACATTGTTGTTTTAATTTTTATATTGGCTGAGGAAGCCGACTTTTGACTCTTCTAGTAGACTATGTACGCAGATTTTATCTAAAAAATAAAAAGTAGACATTCAAGCCAATTTGATAGTTGCTATCTGGTTCAAATCGCATTTTACATCGTAAAACAGTGTAAAACGGTTATCAGATTATCAAAAAATATATATAAGAAAATGATACATTTTCGTATTTGTGGCGAATATTTTGTTAATTTAAAAAAAATTATAGTGGTTAAAATAAAGAGATTTTGGGTGACGAATGCGTAGAATTTTATTTCATTGTTTACTACGATTTCGTCGGAATTTACTCCGTGAACGTATTATGAGCGTAATAAATATTACGTTTTCAGTAAGTTTCGCTAAAATTGTCGTTATATCGTTAAGTCGTGTGTGGATTTAGGGCTTTCGGTCGAAATTTCGATTACAAAGATGCATAAAATACGCCCTTTTGCTCGTGTGAGGAGCTTTATTGATCCTGCGCTTATTAAAGTCGGTGATTTCAATGCCGGCGCGCTGCCGACAATCTGCATTTAAATAATAGCATTAATAAATTTAGCAATCGAATTAGGTTTGACACTTATTCAGTTTGATATGTCGAAGGAAGGAATTCGCGCGTCTGAATTTTTTCGGTGTTGTTAATTTATTAATTTGCATATGTATACGTTCGTGATGGCGGCGGCAGCATGTTGTTAACGTCGAATAAAAAACAAAGCGTGCATGTTGCATTTTTCTGCAAGAACTGCTTATAAATAATGTGTAATTATGAGTATTATTTATGAACGCGTCCACACGTCTTTATTAATGTCGGCACCAGAGAAACTCTCACAACAAAATGGCTTCCAATGGCGGCGCTCTTTGACGTGCATTCTTTATACGCACAAATGGCTTTCCGGCACACGGCAACATAATATATTCGAATTTAATTTTCAAGTAACGCCTCTTCACATATAAAATACTACATTAATCATCGGATAAAAATGTATAGTTTTTTTCGTCGAATTATTTCACCAATCAATGGCCGGAGACGTCCATGTTGGCCCGGACCCGTTAATTAATCGACGAGAGATGGATCAGTTTTTTCGTTCGTCTTGAAACAAATGTTTGTTTTATTGTAGTAAAACCATTGACACAGTTAAGGTCGCTCGCATCAGTTTCACTAACAAATGGGATTTTGCTGAAACACCGTGATACAGCATGTAAAAATACACGTTAGATGCATTACCTTGTAACTTTTCGTTTTGTTCCTTTTCAAGTCTTTGTAGTATTGTGTTTCCGATGCCCGCTTATTTACTCCTATTCACCAAACGTAATATCTTCATCGCAATTGATAATTTCGACGCCATCTTGGAAAAATTATCAACCCGACGGGGTTGGTTTAAAAAGCTCCAATTTTCAAGGTGTTACACTTAACTAACGACCAATGGGAGATTAGAACTAATTCCACGTTAGTGTGGGGGTTTCTAAAGCTCGCAGGTAGCATTCGGCCGCTCCGCGACGGATCATTTCGGTCGATCTCATTAGTCTTTTTCACATTTTTTTCCCCACTTTGTTTTTGTGCTGTGCGCCATTTTGATTAAAATGCCGAACGAGAAAATAAATTGCTTTGAGTAATAACAACAATTGGACGGCCAACGCAATTACGTAAGTCGTTCGAACATCTCTCGTTAGTTTTTTAAATTCGGTCTACAACTGAAAAGCGGAAAAATTTATATCAATACGTTTTTACGTTTAGCCGCGACGTTTATTTTAACGTTGTGTGCGATGCATTTTTAGTGTTGGTTTAAAATTTCGCGCAAAAAGTTTTAAATAAATTGATGGATGCTATGGTGTAAAGCGCATTCTCTCCGGATTTTTTGCACCGGTTGCAATCAACATTTTTTCTCTGGCTTTGTAAGTACGATTGGTACAGTTTTTAAAATCGTGAATTGTTTCGTTTGCGGACGTTTAGATACACTTATTCTTATTTTTTTGAATAATAATAAAACATTACAGCTAAATTGTGCGCGACAAGCGATGCCTACGGTGATGATAATAAATCAACAAATGCACGATCGTGATAAAGAATGTTTTCTTTGTTTTCATCATCGTTAAATTTTAGTTACAAGTGATGTTATCATCTAATTATACAGGCTGTCATTTTTTCTCTCTATCTGCGTTATTTATAAAGATAAACTTCCGAATTTTTGTCTCTTTCATAAAGAACTTTAAACTTAACTTTAACTCGATTTAAAATTTGTAAGCACTTCCTAAAAATCATATATTTTCCTATTAAATTAATGTCTGCTGTTTACATAACGTCGGTTCCAGGATGTGCCCAAAATATATAAACTTATCGTTGTTTAAAATTTAGAAATCTTAAAAAAAAAATTTAGTTTAAGAATCCAATCATGATTAACAATTATTTTACATTTTGAAAATTGTTTATTATTTCGGGACGTCATATTGTGATCACGATTGATAGACAATCAGTACTTAGATAACTAAATTCTGCAGATGATTTATAAACGTCTACATCTACATTATTAAAGTATTTTTTATTATATTACATGGTCAAGAATTTTTTTGGAAATATGCCCGCATTTATACTAAGCTCGATCATTCTATTTATGTTTCAGTTCAAATTAGAATTTTCCGTTAATCATGATAAAAACGATTGTTATCAAATAAATAACATTTTAAATTGATTGTCACGCCGTAAATTCTGATCATCTCACGTTTGCACTTTTTATTGTTGGAATATCGTTGATTTTTCTTTTAAATGATCACAAGGAAAACACTTTATATCTACGAAGTATGCAACGATTAAGCGATTGTTACATTTTTAGTTGCATTATCGCTTAAAAACATGTAAATATAAATAATTCATTTAAAATAATTCATTGTAAACATTTATGAGTTAGTTTTTGTTTTTTTGCCATGCGCTTTCTAGTAACCGCATCGTTGTTTGTTGATTTTCAATACACTGAAATAATTTTAATTATTTGCTTGATCTGTTGAATAATTAATTTATTGCAAGCGTCACAATTTTATTATAATCCATTAGTTGAATGATTTTTGCAAGTGATCATTCAAACGAACGTAAGAGCTACTTTTCATTTTTCGAAAAAATTTAAAATAGTGTTTCAAATTCGGTTATTTATCATTTTTAATATTTGAAGTTGTTGAATATCAAAAAGTTGTTTTTTATGCGCTATATTGAACCTCATTTCCTTATCTGAAAGAAAATTAAGAGGTGACTTAATATACACGTATAAAATTCTAAGACTGGGTAAAGACGGGGCTGATTATTTCCATTTGAGGAAAAATGAACGATTAAGAGGACACCGATTACAAATATCAACACCACAATGTAAAACGAATATCAGAAGAAATTTTCTTTCTATAAGGGTAATAATGATTTGAATAAACTGCTTACTGATATTATTGAATCTGAAAATACAAATATATTCAAAAACCGATTGGACAAATTTTATATGTGGCAATAATTTGATGCGAATATTTCTAGAGAGTATTATAGCTTATTAGAGCTCTACGCAATTATGACCAATAATAATAATGTCATAATTAAATATCCTTTGTTAAATGTGTTCAGGTACATCAGAAGTGCCCAAGTTGTAAAAAAAATTGGTATTAGTTTGATTAAATTTTGGAGCTCTTTAGAAAAATGAAAGTGCGACGTCTTATTTTTGATGCGGCGTTTGACTTATCATTGACATTGTAGGAAGTGAATGTTTTCACAAAAATCGGACCAAAATATATCCAGTAATCAGCGACTTTATCTCGTCGAAGTAATTTTCGTATTGAAATAGTCTATATCGGTTTGATGCGTCGGTGTCAAAAGTTATCGCGTCGAAGGCTGTCATCACCCGTCGGAATTTTCCGGCTTTGAATTTCCAAAAAATGAATAACCGACACGATTTGACCCGGTGATAGACCAGGATCTGCTTACTACGAAAATGTATCCTTCAAAATTACATACCTGACAATGACATTTGGATCCCTTTGTAATTACGTTTGGGAATAATGATAGTTAATTCAACGAAAACATCAAAGTATTGTTCTGCGGTTACATAATAGTTTGTACATTCTTTAGATATGTAGATTCTTGTTTTAACTAGCGTTTTGCTTGTTTTAGGGGAGTATGTAGTAAAGGCCGAGGAACTAACAGAGTCTTTGAACGGAGCGGATTGTGGCCCCTCGTGTGATCTACCACTAGGGGACCTGTCATTGCCGCTCCCAGAGTTTCTCCTTGACGAAGCTCTTCGTCTTGTCGAGCTAGACGACACACCCCAAGTGAGTGAAAAAATCCGTGCGAATTAACGTAGCACACCTATAAAAAAATAAGACAGTATAATAATCAGCAGTCGAATTTTATGTAGGTGCAACTGTCGTTGTTCGGTTATTATAAAGTTGTTTTTTCTTTTTTAGGAGGCTATTAATGTTAAGGAGCTTGAGACTCTCGCTGAAGACACAAGCGACGCGGAACCCTCCCCTAGTACTTCTAACTCGAGCGAAACTCCGTCGAGTTCCAAGGATTCGGACGACGATTTGAGCATCCTCACCGACATGATACAGACGTCGCAGTTCCACCATCCCCATCACAGGGCCTTCCAGGTAGTGTGACAGTTGCGGCTAGAGCGAAGTTCCGCTATCGAGTCGATTTCCTATTTGGAAATGGTTCTATTGTGCTAGAAAATACTATGTTCATTTTTTGCTTTATTTGACTAGTTAAAGTGAAGGTTACCTGAGAGGTAGTGGGGTTTTCGAGTAAATCTCGAGAGTAGTTCGTGTCGAGAAGTCGGTGTGTCTTCTTTTTGTTTTTTGTTTTTAAAGTTTGTGGTTATGTTATGATCATGGTTTGCGCGGGTGTGAGAGTTTTCAAGGGTAAGTCTCGAGTGGCCTTTTGGAAATTACATGTTTAGAGAGTACGTTTTGCAGCCCAGGAAGTACACGCATCTACATCGTATTTAAAATAAAATTAACATTACCTTGTAATTTTATTGTCAAGGTATATTTTTTTACATAACCACTGTACTTTTCGTTTACGTTTCTTAATCGAATGAGAGTAATTAGACGTAACGTTGCCATTTGCTCTTTTGGTCCTGATGTTGGTAATTAAAGATCCTAACAAATTGTTTTCTTGACGTGAGAAACAAAATTTTGTTGCCGCGAAATTAGTTTATGCCTACCGGGCTTCTTAGACAATTATTGAATAGCTACGATTTCCACTAGAGGTAATTACTTCGTACTTATGTAACTCTTGATTAATTATTTTATTGCGAACAACATCATTTGTTTATAGCAATTATGGATTATTCCAAAATCGGGGTAATACCGGGGAAGAAAAAAACAAACAAAGCGCCCGCTAATTGTTCGGTGATGTCAAGATCGTCCCTTACGATGACAGATGGATTGTGGGCACTGGGTAGTGACTTCTTCTTTGTAATTTGCGGGCTGTGCTTGTCAAATTATCATCATGTCGGGTTACCGTCATCGGCATCCTCTCTCCTTTGTTAAAAATTTCTTTGTACCTGCCTCACTATCAGGTGTAAAATGTTTTCCCGAATCCTCCGAGTACGTTTTAAGTTTTTTTTTTCGATTTTTTGATTAATTATCGTCGCTTCAAGAATTTCCCCGTCGCTTTTTGTATGGAAGCTACACAAGGGCTTTCATTATACTCGCATGCCTTAAGTTGTTTTAGCGTTGAGGCGTTTCTTCGTACATCACGCATCTGTTAAGCATTCGATTTTGTTGACATGTAACCTCTCACAAAGTAAATTACATATGCAATATATTTTTTACCTTCGATTTCAACTTTTCGATTAACTACTATTAGAAAGTGCTAAATAGAAAAATTTACGGGCGTAACGAATCTCATTGCAAAATTCCTGATCCGGGCTCGATTAAATTATCGCTTTTTTTCAATGTATAATTTAAATTACTTTCAATTCACTCGCTTTCTGAACGAATCTTATAAAATGTGCCAAATTTTAATCGATAAAAAGTTTGACTGACAACTCGAGTAATTAAACGACAACTCCTCGCTTCTATCCTGTTTCTTCGTTTTTCTTCAGGATTAGACTGGTTATCTTTGTTTGTATTTGTTCAGTGAGAGTTTCCGTGGGAATGCACTTCTTCGAGAATCAAGTGTCTTATTCAGCTGTCACCTCGAGTGCTTATTTCTGGACGATGAAATTAAGAGACCAAAACATCAACCTGTAACAAATCCACATTTCTAATTCATGGTCTTTCCGTCAATATTTATTCTTCTTTCGATTGCACTCGACCATGTTTGCTTAGCTTAAATTATTCAGCGCAGGGAAGGGACGACGGAAGCGAATTGTCACTTACGTACTAAATGTCGCACACAATAATCAAGGCTGAATCCAAAAATACTTCACACATTTTTTTCAATTTCAAATCATCGGAGCGGTTTCTTCCCCCAGCGTCGCGACGCCTCCAACAATATAAATTCGCGTTTCGAAGAACAAGTGCAACCAATTAGGCAAAGAATGTCCTAAAAAAGCGTCTAATTTATCAATCTCCATGAAATACGAAATTATATATTACTTAACCAAGTAAAATAACACACCATTCAATGTTCCGGTAGAAGGTCACTTTTAAACACTGTTTATACGCTTTGAAAAAGAATCTTTGCGAAAAATGGTCTCAAGGATGCAAATAGTTGCGGTTTGAACAATTATGTATTTTTTTTCTAGAGCCGTATGCCGTTCGTTCGTACCATGAGTATGGAACAGAGATGGCAAGACTTGGCTAATTTGTTGAGTTTGCCGAGTCCGGGCGATACCGGTGGTATGCCGCATCCGTTCAGCCACCACCATCCCTTGCACAATTACAGCCACCCCCATGCCCACGGTATGGGGTACAGTCCTGAGGCGACTCGAGGAGTTCTTTTACACAACGCCACTCTTACACCGCCGATGGGTGATATAAATGCGACAGTGCCATACAGTAATATCGGTAAGTGGCTTAAGTTAAGTAAGGCCCGCGTGACTTGAGTGACTCCTCAGGTGGCACGAATTTGGGCAACGCCGTGGCCACCTCGATGAATCTTACGAATAGTAGCGAACCCATGGGAGAACCCAACTCCACACCCCATTACAAATTAGAACCATCGCACGATATGATGTATTATCAGGTAAGATAACCCGAGGTCGTCGGAGGGGTTGTATTTTTCGTTTCGTGTTGTTATAGAACAGTACAACGGATCTTAACCAGACTGAAGGATTTTTATCTTCGATTTTAAACGATGAAGATCTTCAACTTATGGACATGGCGATGAATGAAGGTAAGATAAGAGAATCTGTAACGGAAATTTTGCTTACGCAGTTACCCTTATCTGTGACGGGTACTTACTAAGATTATCTTGGCGCAAATAACGCGATAAAAGTAAGTCTTATTGCTAGGTGTATTAAGGGTGCGCATGCGCACCGCGTGCGACTTTAATTTTGAATAATTGGATTTATGTATTTACGCTATTGAATTTATAATTCGACGCGATGTTTTTGAACCTTATGTAATTATGTACAGAGCGAAGGCCAAATTACAGTCATTGGAGGTTAGGAACTATGAACGTAAAGGATGCTTCGATTCGTCGGGTGTAAAAACTCGATAGAAATGCATAATTTCCGTGATGGTTTCACGATTTTCCGCAAATTTGCTGCGTCATTGTTAAAATAAGGTAAAACGCGAGGCGTCTAGACAATTATTTTTTCCGATTACCGCGGAGCTAACGAATAGAAGATAAAAATATGCGTGTCTTAGGTTATTTTTATATTTAGCACGTACGAGTTTATTAGATTTGAACGAACAGGTGGCGTTTTCGTGTTAACAAAAGCGCGCTAGTTGCATATTAATAACAGACAATGTGTCGTTTTTGGTAAAGCATTGTTTGGTCATTACGTGAATTTTTGATTCGTAATGCACGGTTCTAATAGTGGTTCTTAATGAGAAAAATGTTGAATCATCGTTCGGGTTATCCTTGAGACTTGCCTCAAACTGATAAGGAATTCACAGCCAATGAAACATTGTTTTTAATCAGTCTTTTTACTTTTGTGTTCGAATTACAATGTGTGACAATTTCCAAAGAAATTTTCGACAATTTCCCGAAATGAAAATTTTTGCTGCCTGCGTTTCTTGTCAAGTTTGTTGTTGTTTAAATCTGTGTCTTTGTTGTTGTTGTTGCTGTGGGTGTAAATAATTAAATTCGTAAGTTTTTTTATACTTATACCCCCGTCGAACACTACACTTACACCACCGTGCACGACTGAGCCGTTTTTGCGCAGTTTTCGAACAAACCGAGACAACATTTTTCGGAAATTTATCAGGTTTACACATCAACATATTGTTGATAACATGGAAATAGTACATGACGCAATTAAGCACACAGACGATTTCAGTCACACCACATCTTTTTATTCGAATTAGAACGAAGCAAAACTAAACATTATCCAAATTATTATTTAGAAATGCGTCCACAAAACCGCTTTTGTCCCATACCGGATATTAAACTTGCCAAATCGATCGTTCAATACCTTATCGTATACTCATAAATTTCCTCCATTGATTGTGTAAAACTCTGTCAATAGTAGAGTAAAATTATTTATAATCTACGGGTTTTTAAAAACGAACGCGCGTGCGCATGCGCGCCCGTCACTCGCCCAGGCTAATGCCCTAATTAAGTCGCCCGCCGATTTCGAATTCTCAAATTCGTTCCTTGTTTTTCAGGCATGTACACAATGCGTATGCTAGATAGTAACAACGCGATCAGCAACTTGAGCATGAACGGTGCTGCAGGTGCTACATCCATGTCCAGGACGGATGTAGAACGGATGGACACTTCCAGCGATAGCGCTGTGAGTTCGATGGGCTCGGAGCGAGTACCATCTCTCTCGGATGGAGAGTGGTGCGACGCAGGCTCCGACTCCGGACACACAGCCGGAGATCACTACGTCACCGACTATCAAACGTAAAAAATAAGCCCCGAGTGACGACCCCCCCGTATTAACCGATTCCTTAAATTCCAGTAAATACAGACCGTACGATTATAGCTACTCCAGCCGGCAACATGCGAGCGCCTTGGCCACGTCTGACGCGACCAGGATGCCACCTGTGGCCCAGAAGAAACATCAAATGTTCGGCAAGAGATATCTCCAAGTAAGTGGTTGTTAGCAACCCTACGACCCGGTGTTCTTATTTTCTATGTTTTGGTTTCTCCAGGAGCAGGGAGCGACCAGCGCGGTGTCCCACCAGCCGCCCGTCAAGTACGAGTACCGCGATCCCACCGCTGCCCCGTATAACAGTTCGCAGCCGGAGGGAGCCGTCGGTCCTAAACCCCCGGAGATGAAGTACTCCTGTTCCATGGAGTTCGGGCGTCATAATCCTCTCGTGAGGAACTCTCTGGACCACATACAGCACAACCATACGTACCATCTCCCCACGGAGAGTACGGGAGCGATGCAGCGACCGGTTTCGCGCGACAAAAGCAAATCGCGCAAGGCGGATGAGGAACATTTAACGCGAGATGAAAAGCGAGCTCGAGCCTTGAATGTTCCCATCACTGTCGACGATATTATAAACTTGCCGATGGACGAATTCAACGAGAGGCTTTCCAAGTATGACTTGAGCGAGCCTCAGCTGAGCCTAATCCGTGATATTCGTCGCCGAGGCAAGAACAAAGTGGCAGCCCAGAATTGCAGGAAACGCAAGTTAGATCAAATTTTGAGCCTGGCGGACGAAGTGAAGGACATGCGGGATAGAAAGATGCGCTTGATGAACGAGCACGAGTTCATGTCCAACGAATGCCAGAGGATGAAGGATAAATACCAGCAGCTGTACAGACACGTGTTTCAGGTGAGTTGAAGGAGGTGGGGTGGTTGAAGGGTGCTGATGTGTGTGTTTTTGGTAGAATTTGCGCGATCCGGACGGAAACCAGTACTCGCCGTACCAGTACAGCCTTCAAACGTCTGCTGATGGATCCATCCTGGTTGTACCTCGTTCTAACTCCACGTTAAGTAATCAAGAACGCAAAGACCCACCGCCTCAAGGTCATAAAGAGTGAAATGTTAACTAGTTTTATATGCAAATATTTCGATGTAACACTTTAAAAATGTTCCATTTCTCACTGCAAACTTTGCTCAAACATACTTTATTTTTATACAATTTCGGTTTGGAAAGTTTCAACGATACTGTACAGAAATTTCAATTTGGTTTATAAGTTGATGGGCATTTAAACAAAAATTTGGTGCTGAGAATCAGATTCATTTTTTGTTGATGAGAAGCTTGGAAAGTGCTTATTAATTTATTCGGTACTTTTTGTTTAAGTGCTTCGATTCTCTATAGAACTACGATAATATATTTTTGTAATACATGAAGAAAATATCAGGTGATGAATATGCCTTTTTTTCATAACATAATGTAAATAGTTGTTCTAAGTAGTGTATGAGTGTGAATGACTGACGTAATTGGTGGTAGGAAATGGGAGTTAGTGGAGCTAATTTTCATGCCAGTTAGACGTTCTGTAATCATCATTTTTAATGATGTATGTGATTTATTGTAACCATGTTATTTTTTACAACTGTAGTACCCGTACTTCTTGGTTATATTTTAATTAGTTGTAACATCTTTATTAAAAACACTAGGCTAATATTTTTTATAAATCATATAGGTTTTGTACATTGTATATCTTGTAAGTAGCTTATTAAGTATCCCCGTGAATGTGTAGCATTTCGTCAAGTGAATTGCTGGGTTTAATCTTTAAAACAGTTTGTACACTTAACATTTGCTTTTACGAGCAACTTATATTTGGTTATTGGTGCCAATAAAGATCTCTACAATAAATAAAAACTTTGTTTTCTTTATTTCTTCATTTTTTTTAACTGCTAAAATCTACAGAATAATAATATGCGTTCTCCTTCGTTTTGTTTTATAGGTTTCAAACTTTATTTTGCTTGTCTCCACACCAAGTCTGCCTTAGGATAGCGATGTATTTATTATATTCATTGCTTCATTCCTTCAAAACCTTAATGACATCAACTCCGCAGTCAGTTCGTTCCATCAAAGATGTACAGTTTTTGACACGTAGTTTAGTAGTGTACTTCATCTGACGTGGTTCTAAAAAAAAGTTTAATTAACTTAATTAACTGTTAATAAGCTTCAGATTTGAAGTTAGAAAGAAAGAAAGAAGTGTGCTAAAACATGTTTTAATTATATAGTGGTGTACACTAGTATTTACGATATTATATATACAACCATGATTTTAATATAAAGCAAAATAGAACGATAGAGTTTTTATATACTTAAACAATTGTGTTTGTAAAATATATAATTGTTAAAAAAGCGGAAATCATAAGCTACTTAATTTGTCTATGTTTATTTCAATTGTCGCCAGGCGGCACTGTCCTTTATTGAAAGTTAGTGTCCCTGTACAGGGACACTATTGAAAGTATGAATGTTGACAAACTGACATAATATTTTGTCCGTCGACAAAACACTTGCATGAACATTTAAGAAATAATTTTCTTTTATAGTCAGTCTCTGATGTTTTCCGTTAAATAAGATTTCACAGCACAGGAGCGTTTTCTTTTTATCAGTGGCTTCGTTTTCCAATGATTCAATTTCTGTGTAAACTACAATAAATAGAATAATTTTCAATCTTTTGGTATGGCGGTTTGGGGGTTGGTTGTGGGGAGGAAACGACTTTAAGGAAACGATATATGCAGCGCCACCTAGTAAGGCTTGGAGTACACAAAAGTCATAGGTGAATTGTACGAAGTGTTAAGGCTAGTACACAATGTAAAAACTTAAAACTTAAGCCGTAAACTTAAGGGTCACTAAACGTATTGGTAAAATACATAGTGCGTCGTTAAACTTTAGAAACATCCGTAAATGTTGCAATTTCCGTAAAATTTCAGAAATGTTGGAATTCTTAACTGCAGTTACGGCCACATATTACGGGCAACCAATCACGTGGGTCTCTAAGTAGTTTATTAAACAGTCGCAAATTCATATGTGTATATGTAAAAAACATTACAGTATCTAAGTATCTTCCTCTTATTCTTGAAAGAGATTAGCAAAATCTCTGTGCCTATCTCGTCGGGTATTTATCGGCCATCTCCGGTTTAACCACCTTCTTTTTTTTGACAGTAGATAAATATTTATTAACTGTAACGTGGATAAACACAGCACCCAGTATTTGTAAAGATGAGACTGATTTTGGCAGATGATATACTTTCTAAGAAAATAGAGGGTGGGTGGGCGGGGCTTCAATTTAGTAAGATAAGACTGATTTTGGCAAATGACATATCTAAGAAAATGAAGGGCGGGTGGGTGGGGCTAGTATTTGTAAAGATAAGGCTGATTTTGGCAGATGATATACTTTCTAAGAAAATAGAGGGTGGGTGGGCGGGGCTTCAATTTAGTAAGATAAGACTTATTTTTGGCAAATGACATACCTTCTAAGAAAATGAAAGGCGGGTGGGTGGGGCCAGTATTTGTAAAGATAAGACTGATTTTTGCAAATGCCTTACCTTCTACGAAAATAAAGGGCGGGTGGGTGGGACTAGTATTTGTAAAGATAAAACTGATTTTGGCAGATGATATACTTTCTAAGAAAATAGAGGGTGGGTGGGCGGGGCTTCAATTTTCCAAGATAAGACTGATTTTGGCAAATGACTTACCTGCTAAGAAAATTAAAGGGTGGATGGGTGTATTTGTAAAGATAAGACTGATCTTGGCAGATGATATGCTTTCTAGGAAAATAGAGGGTGGGTGGGCGGGGCTTCAATTTGCTAAGGTAAGACTGATTTTGGCAAATAACTTACTTTCTAAGAAAATAACGGGCGGATGGGCGGGGCTAGTATTTGTAAAGATAAGATTGATTTTGGCAAATGATGTACTCTCTAGGAAAATAGAGGGTGGGCGGTGGATGGGCACTTTTGACTTTGTTTTAAATCTTGGATTCTAGAGATTAGCTTTTTTCTTAAGAGTCTTATAAGCAAGCAGTAGCCCTGCCCACTGACGCCCTCTTCATTCCAGTGACTACTCTTATTATTGTGCAGTCTTGCCTTAGCAAATACTAGCCCCGTCCACCCACCCTCTGTTTTCTTAGAGTGTATGTGATTTGCCAAAATTGTCTCATCTTGGCATGTACTAGGCCCACCCACCCGCCCTCTCTTTTCTTACAGGCCATGTCCATTGTACATATATGGTTTTATTTAAAAATAACTACGACTTAGCTGCTGTGAAAGTGAGGTAGGGGTAGGGTTTTTACTTAAACTTCTACAATGTGAATTCAAACTATCCTGAATAAAGTTTAACGTTATGCTTAAGTTTTTAAGTATAAATTTTAAGGATACTGAAGAGCATTGTGTACTACCCTTTACGCTTCTTCCGACAATCGGAGTCGGATAGTATACGCGAAAGCGTGCATGGGGCGCCACCTGGCGACGGTGGAAGTAGACGGTGGATCACAGTCATAATTCATTCATCGGATGTCACTACTGTCGTTGAAGTGCGGCCCTAATAGTAAAAGAAAAAAATTGGTCGAAAGCATATATCTAATAGTACTATATTGCTAACTGGCCTCAAAAGATTCCGAAAACATAACGGCAGAGCAATATATCGGACCTCTCTGTCTCTCTGTGGTACCAAACAGTACTGCGCATGCACTCGTACTTGGTTGATTTGTAGTGGATAGCGTGACTAAATGCGTTTTGACATTTCGTACTTTCCCTTCTGTTTTGTGTACATGCGCACAGACCCTCGGTACTCTTATAGACAGAAAACAACATCTTCTGTCTCTCTCTGTCCGTGAACACCGTTTCTATGTTACTTCCGAAGTGTTAGCAATATAGTACTATTAGATATATGGTCGAAAGTTATTTCGACAGGACTTTCTTCCTTTTACCATCTACACGATATTCTTAACATACATATAAAATACAATCGGTCCGGTAGTTTTGGGGATTATGCCTAATAAAAATCTGAACAGACGGTACATAGACTGAGCCACGAGATCTAATTTTTCATACTCTATGTATAAGCAAATCTAAAAAATATTAATGCAGTGATAAATCACAAGTATTGACTTATCATGCTTTTCACATTTAAGGCAGGATTTTTTCAGCAAAATTTTCAGGTGAAGTCATGAATTTTTTAAGGGGGGATGAGCAAATACATTTTGATTAAAAATTTACTATGCTTATGATAACTTTAAAACATCTCAAAGATTTCAAAGCATTTGGTTTTGTAGTTTCTGATTTAATCAATAAAATACATTGACGTATCCATTAATTTTTTAAGTCACCTTGTATATGCAAATCCAAAAAATATGAATAGAATGATAAATCACAAGTATTGTCTCATCATACTTTGCACATTTAAGATATAGTTTATTTAGCAAAATTTTTGGGTAGTATCATCAATTTTTTAGGGGGGCTGAACAAATACATTTTGATCAAAAATTTACCATGTTTATGATAACTTTTTAAAGTTTTATTTTGAAATAAAAAATAGAAATAGTTCTCTACCTTAAAGTTTGTAGGTTGTAGGCATAACGTTGTAAAGTATGTACAAGTCCCATTCTGATATTCTAACAAAAAGACCCAATGTTTAGTGGAGACTAAAAATGAAATATAAGCAAGTACTTACTTTGACATATTGAAACATCAACAATTTGGATGAAATGTTAAAATTTTCTTCATTTATTAGTTGACTGCAAAACCGCTGAGATATTTAATACCCCATCATGTTTTTAAAATTCTTACATTTTATATAAAAGTAGGTACATAATTTCGATATAAAATTGCCTACTCTTATTTACATAAACAAATGACGTTTTATGGCGCGTGAGACGTATATAATTTAATAAAATACTGGACTCTAATCATCATAAATACCCATTTCTCTTCCTCCTTAGTGTCTTCATAAATTCATACTGGTCTCTTTTGTAACGGGCGATAAATTTACTTATTTTTGGAGATGTTGGTATGAATCAGAACAATCGTCATTGTCGTAAAAATCAAGGTTGTCCTTGTGAAACTTGGATTTTATGATTTCACACCATTCTAATCAAGGTTTATAATTTCACAGTTAAATATTGGCGCCGTTTGGCTGGACACGATGTCTTTGTCCAGTTTTATAATTTCATGGTTTAAATTTGTTAATTTTAACAAAAAGCACATTTTGCCACTAAAAATCTTCATATTACAGTTAATTAAGCCTAATTTGGTGGAAACACAAATACTTTTACGACTCCCCAAATAAACTGGTAACTTGTAAACAATTTTGCGAAAACAACTCCTTTGGAGGGGTCTTTACTTATAAAAGATCGAAGGATCCAAAAAAGACTGGAGTCCTCTAGCCAGTTGCCTGTTTAGTGTGTGTTTGTGTTGTGACACAAAGGGGTAAGTGTTAAAATCTCCAAAAATGTGCACTATTTCATAAAAAGTTCAAAGTTTTGTTTTTATTAATATTTTTAAAGTTCAATTTAATTTTGATGATAAATCGCCCTTTGTATTCTCGATTGGATAACGTTTTGAGAATTAGATCTATTTTTAAAGGTTAATTTTGCATTGAAATTATTAGTTAAACAGTTATATTGTTTGATGAACGCTGACCACGCAACTACTATAATGTTCCTTACCAAATTTTTGAGTTGTTACAAATGTTTGAGTTGTTACCAAATTTTGAGTTATGGTACCAATTTTAAGTTTTGTTATATTTTTGTTTTAGATATTTTTTAAATGTTTGTTTTATTATGCTTTCAAAGATTTAGTTTCAAAGTTATAAAGTTTTCTTGGATTTATTTAAAAATGTTTTAATACTGAAGTTCATTTTCTGATAAT